CTAGAAGACAAGGACGGCAAAGCAATCCCTAGGCCATGGAACACGGCCAATCTCAAGTTATTTTATTTTTAACTTTCTTCTTTTCAAACATGTGTAATTTCTTTTTCCTCAATAAAAACAATCGATTCTTTTCAGCATGAGTTGTTCTCTGTAAAGATTAGCTTTAGTAAAGTTTAGGTACATTGCAAACATTATTCTAAGTTAACTGGAAAAACTAACTTAGAGGTTGGCTGGAATAAACCAACACCCCTCCTAAGCCCAGGATAAGGATCCAGGCTGCAGGACGTTTGGTCGAAATACCCAAAACACTTTATTCTAAGTTAGCTGGAAAAAACTAACTTAGAGGTTGGCTGGAATAAACCAACACCCCTCCTAAGCCCAGGATAAAGATCCAGGCTGCAGGACGTTTGGTCGGAATAACCAAACATTATGCTAAGTTGGCTGGAAAACTAACTTAGAGGTTGGCTGGATTAAACCAACTCTTTGTACTCTTCAGCCGAAGTAAGGGTATGGCTGAAGAGTGGTTGGGTGGATTAAACCAACTCTTTGTACTCTTCAGCCGAAGGAAGGGTACGGCTGAAGAGTGGTTAGCTGGATTAAACCAACTCTTTGTACTCTTCAGCCGAAGTAAGGGTATGGCTGAAGAGTGGTTGGCTGGATTAAACCAACTCTTTGTACTCTTCAGCCGAAATAAAGGTATGGCTGAAGAGTGGTTGGCTGGATTAAACCAACTCTTTGTACTCTTCAGCCGAAGTATGGGTATGGCTGAAGAGTGGTTGACTGGATTAAACCAACTCTTTGTACTTGTCACGACCCCAAACCGCCCCTAGTAGTTTGGTACCATGATGGCCAGTAATCCGTAATTACCGAAGGCCAACTTCCAAAATCCACACACGATCAGAGTATTTATATAGGGGGCTCACAAATCCGGAAGCAATAATTCAAAATACAAGTGGTCCATAAGAGTTGTGCATAAGTCAAATGGAATGGCATACATCTTTACATAGCTTTACAACTTGAATACAAAAGTACATATTACATCTTGGCAAAAGGCTTCTCAAGCTGACATAAATATAACACATGAAATACAAATCAAGAATACATAATCTTCAGATTGCCGACATCCTCAAAGCCGACATAACATGCATAAAAATACACATCTCGGCGAAGCCGACTTCTTTCTTGTTACCTACATATATACATAGGGAGGGTGAGCTTGGATACTTAGTGAATGGTACAAGTAATAAAGAGGTTAAATGAATGATTCCCGAGGTCTTTGTCAAAACAATACATATATATATCTTTGTCAAAACCATACTTATCATAGCTTGTACAAAATATGAGATAAATCTTGTTCATCAAACTTGATCTTGGAAAACTTACATACTTAACATACGTCAAATCTTATAACATAACCTCGGCATAATGGAGCTCGTGTTACTTAGGCCCGTAGCCCGCTTTAACACTATGGAGCTCGTCTTACTTAGGCCCGTAGCCCGCTTTAACACTGTGGAGCTCGTGTTACTTAGGCCCGTAGCCCACTTTAACACGTTAGTCTTTCCAAGAAAGGACCGTATCCTTTTACACTTAGTGCTGCGAAAGTTTAGAGTCCTCCAGCACAAGGGACTTTCCGAGAAGGTCATCAAAACAAAGGCTTGTACTTGAATACATTAAAATAGGATATCATTCATGCTTACAACTACTTTCGTCAGAAACAAGCAAAGGCAAAGATTTTATCAAACAGTATACATAACTTATTAAAAGCCCCTCACTCAGTCTTGGACGTCGGGGTCAAGCAAATGGTCCAGTCCTACACAAACAACGATGGCAAGCATACTGACATACATCTCAAAACAGTCTTACATGCATGCAAGAAACTTCGGAGAGACATGCTAGAAGTCAAAACACTGTTTAACATGGTCAGGAAGACATTCTGGTACAACAGGTCTAGCCGAGGTCCTACACCTCCTGCGAGGTGGGTGGTTCCCGATGCCTGCATTCAATAAGCAAAGTCGGAAAACTAGGTTTCCTCTTTGAAGAACATGAGAACATATCATGAGAAAGTAATGAATGCAGGATCGTAACTGGTTACAAAAATCTGAGATTTCATGGCAGAGTTCGAGAACAGTGGACCTGGGTACCATACTTGAAAAATCAATGCAAGAAACAAACACAAAAACATGGACTTTAGGCGTGAAGCCTTTCGATCAAAACATGGCTTTTCTTGTGAAGAAACACATCGAATGCTATTTTCTCTTTTATAAATGAACTTATAAGCAATGCATGGCTTATCAAAATCTATTCAATCATGCGCAATGCAATAACATGAACATAAAGGATGACAGGAGCGGATCAAGAATTCTGAACCTAGAAACATGAATCTAACGGTCCGATCTCTAGGGATCAAGCTTGGAAATCCACTCTCTCTCAAGAACTCTTCTTCCTCTCCTAGAGCTTCTCTCTCCTCTTCAAAACAAGTATACAACAAAATGATGGGTTCTCTCTCTCTATCGGCTGACTTAACTCTCAGCTCGGACACGTGGCAACGACTGGTTGGTTCTCTTCAAAAAGGTGATAGATTGACAAGACAAGGCAATGACAACGCGTATCTAACAAGCTACTCGGAATGGCACTCCGGCAAGTGGTGACATCGACTAAGGACAAGGCTTCGGTAACTAAGGTGACAATGACCTCGGCTAGGAAAGACGACACTTGACTAAGCTGTGCCACACCTTGGCCTAGATGTGCCACACCTCGGTCTAGGTCATACCACTCCAGGACAAAATCACTCAGTTGCAAAGGTAACATCTCGGCCTAGATAATACACATCTCGGCCTTGGTGATTCACACCTCGGCCTAGATAATGACATCTCGGCCAATATGTCAAAGCAAAGGTGGAGGTCAAACGAAGGGGTTCCAAGATACTTCTAAATTGAAGATGACCTCGGCTTGGAATGATCTAGGCATAACGCAACCTAGGCTTGGCATAACATCGGCTAACATAACTTAGGCTTGGCGCAACCTAGGCTTCACATCAAGGAGGGAGCAAAGCATGCACGTAACACTTAGGCAAAACAAGATAAGATTCATGAATGTAAACTTAATAAGGCAAGGTTATGCAAGTGCACATGAACATGACTAAGACATGAATATGGGTTATCACATACTCCCCCCCTTAAAGAAGTTTGGTCCCCAAACTTCACTTACCTTGTTCCCAAAACGACTCCGGCTGTCAAGTTCTCATCCCTACTTATCCCCTCTAGCCTTTATCTTGGGACAATCCTTAATACAGTGACCTCTCTCTCCGCATCCGAAACATGCTCCAGTCGCCCGAAGACAAACCCCAAAATGTAGCTTCCCACAACTCGCATATGTCGGCCTGGTGCCACCTTCCTGATTCGCGTTGTTGGGACTATCGTCCTCTGTCCTCTCCTCGGCATCATTCGGATCTGCCTCTTCTTCGCGATTGTCGTAGGTCTGCCTCTTCCTTTGACTCTTCCCCGAACTTTGACTTCTGTTCAGGTTGGCTTCTGCAAGGAGGCCTTTGTCTAATACTCCAGCATACGTCGGCATGTCGAGTAAATTAACCTGATCTTGTATCGGCCCTCGAAGTCCACTCTCAAACTTCCTAGCTTTCATGTATTCGTTGTCGACCATGCGGGGTGCATACCTTGCCAACTCAGTGAACGCACGATCATACTCTGCCACTGTTTTACTACCCTGTGTCAACATCAGGAACTCTGTAGTCTTGCGATCTCGGACACTGAGTGGAAAGTGCTTGTCATAGAACAGCTCCAAAAATCTGGCCCAAGTCAAGTCTGGGTTGCCTTCTCGAATCATCATCCACCATCTACGGGCGTCGTCTTCCAATGTGAATACTGCTAGTGCCACTTTCTGAGCGTCGGTGCTGGGAAAAACCTCGAACATTTTCTCCATCTCGAGAATCCATGCTTCTGCTTTCATCGGCTCTATACCTCCCTGGAACTTCGGCGGTTTCATCTTCTTGAATTACCTGATCAGGGTCAATGTGTCATCTCCGTACAAAGCTGGTTGCGGAGGCACTTGTGGTACTGGCGGTGGTGGAACTGCATGTCGGCCATCTGTCTGCTCGGCCTGGGTGGAGGTGGTACTGGTATTCTGCTGCCTTGCTCGCCTTAACTCATCGGCCAATCTTTCTAACCTGTCTATTCTATCCTCGGATTGATTTCGGCCAACTGGGGGTCTACCTCTTCTCATGATGTTGGGGGTATGCAGGATGTGACATTTAAACAAAATGAACAAATGAACATGTATGCAAGTGAACATGATCATGCCGATGTATCAAAATGTTCATGCCGAGATGATACATACCTTGTCAAGTAGCAAGTAACATGATGCAATCCTAGCATTCTTCTAAGGGACATCCTATGCTCTTTAGGACTCAAAATGTGTGAATAACGTACTATAAGGAATGCGTGCTCTGATACCATTCTGTCATGACCCCAAACCGCCCCTAGTAGTTTGGTGCCGTGATGGCCAGTAATCCGTAATTACCGAAGGTCAACTTCCAAAATCCACACATGATCAGAGTATTTATATAGGGGGCTCACAAATGCGGAAGCAATAATTCAAAATACAAGTGGTCCATAAGTGTCACGACCCCAAACCGCCCCTAGTAGTTTGGTGCTGTGATGGCGTAATCCGTAATTACCGAAGGCCAACTTCCAAAATTCACACACAATCAGAGTATATATATAGGGGGCTCACAAATACGGAAGCAATAATTCAAAATACAAGTGGTCCATAAGAGCAGTGCATAAGTCAAATGAAATGGCATACATCTTTTCATAGCTTTAAAACTTGAATACAAATAAAATAAAGTACAAAATACATGTTACATCTTGATAAAAGGCTTCTCAAGCCAACATGAACAGAATACATGAAATACAAATCAAGAAACATAATCTTCAAAATTGCCGACACAAACACACATCTCGGCGAAGCCGACTTCTCGCTTGCTACCTACATGTATACATAGGAAGGGTGAGCTTGGATACTCAGTGAATGATATAAGTAATAAAGGGGTTAAATGAATGATACCCGAGATCCTTTCAAAACGATACATATTATATCTGTGTCAAAACCATACATAACAAAGCTTTACTTGGCTTAAAACAAGAAATCATCCGAAACTTGGTCTTTCAAAACTTACTTACATACTTAACATACGTCAAATCTTAAAACATGGGGTGATGACATTCCGGGCAAAACAAAAGCATAACCTCGGCATCGAGCACACCCGTTCATAGTCCGTTGGCGGCCGATATCTTAACAAGGGTGCTACTTAGGCTTAACGTCCCCTAGCACGAAAGGACGGTGCTACCTAGGCTTAAAGTCCCCTAGCACGGAAGGACTATGTTACATAGGCTTAACGTCCCCTAACACGAAAGGACAGCAATACTTAGGCTTAACGTCCCCTAACACGAAAGGACGGCGTTACTTAGGCTTAACGTCCCCTAACACGAAAGGACGGTTCCAAGAATGTCATCCAAAACAAAGCTTATACTTGATACATAAAGTAGGGATATCATTCATACTTAACAAATACTTTTATCAAGACAAGGCAAAGCTTTATCAAAACCTTAAGAACATAACTTTATTAAAAATACCACTCACACTAGTTCTTGGGACGTCGGGGTCAAGGCAAAGGTCCAAGTCCTACAAACACATGGCAAAACATACTGAACATACTTCTCAAAACAAGTCTCACATGCATGCA